CTTCGAACTGTTGGCATGTCATTAGATGATTTCATGTGTTTGTCTTGTCTTGTCTACAATGCAAAGGTGACATGCTTGGTATTCACTTCCTACAACTTTATAGAAAGCAAAAGTTTTCGGGGGAGGTAATGAGCAGCTGGGATATTGGGCGTTACCTGCGACTCTTTGATGATCCTCCAAGTTCAGAAACGTCACTGTGGTATTGTAGAAAATAAAATAAATGAATCAAAAGAAAATTAAACGAACTCAGATATAATAAAAGACCATGGCATGAATTGGTATTGAATAATATGTAAAATAGGTTATACTGGTGGGGGAGAATGAATAAAGCGTAATGTAAACAAATTACTTTAAATAAAATTAAATTAAATAAATAAAAATTAAACAAAACCAAGTTAAAATGAATTAAAAGAAAAAAAATATATAAAATAATATAAAATGGAATAAAATTATAAATGAAATTAGATGAAGTAAACTAAAAGAAAACTAAGGGGAATGAAACCAATTAATCAGCTTTTAAAATTTATCTGCCCGTTACATTACTAGACCGATTTGGTTCAGTACCGGGTAGCAAGCTGAACTTAGCCATAGTCAATAAGCTGCTGTCCATGATCTTCACATCTTCTGTTCTTAACCTTGGGTTACATTAAGCTTTTGATTTGAATGTATTTAATGTTTTTATAATGGTAGATTAAGAGGTATTTATTGTTTCAATTATCTGTTATTATAATTTATGTTTTATAACATTAATTTCAATTTTCTTTTTTATTTTTGTTTTTATTTATACTTCGTTGACCACTTCCATCAAACAAAACCGCACCAATCTCCTTCAACACCCCATTGCTTTTCAAAACACTCAGACATCGAAGAAGAAGTCTAGAGCGCAAAATTCATCTAGCGATTCGGATATATCTTCTTCGGAGTCACGTGGTTCGTCGCCCGACCGCAGCACGCCCGATCGTCGTAAGTCAAAACTGAAGAATTCGTTCACAAAAATGCTGGCCACCATTGAACGACGTTCCTCCAGCAATTCAAACGACGAATACGACGAAGATGACGACAACGACAATGACGATGCGGACAACGACGACGATGAGGTGACTGAAGTAAAACCGACCGGAGAAGTATTGAACAGAGTAGTTGAAGAAGAAGCTAAAGACGACATCGATGATATTTGGGCGAACAAATCACCCGAGTTCCAGCCAGCGACGCCTACATACATCAAAAGTCAATTTGGCAAAGACTTAACTGCCATTAAAGGGAAACCTTCTGTGCCAAACACTGACAATCTTCCCACACGACCTATTGCACCGGTAAAAATAACCGAACGTAAATCTGATGTAACTAGCACCTCCTTTGGAGATATAGGTTTTAGTATGAATAAGTCTAGCATTAGTAGTAGTGGTAGTAGTAGTAGTAGTAGTAGCTTGAGCAGTGAACTTTATTGTGAACGAACTTTGGACGGTGGCGAAGACGATGATGATGACAGTAGTAAGACATTGCGTGAGACGGTAACCACAACGAACATGAACATGCACCCCACGGCGGCAGCGAAATCAAAAGAGCAAAATTCAAAATCAATAATGCAACCTGCAGAAATATTGGCATGCAATAATCAGGGTTTCAAGTTCACCTCGAATTCCACAAGTTTAAATGATTCTCAAATGCAGGAAGCATACAATGTGAATTATGATTTGATAAGCCAAACCAACAACAATAATATTGATAATCAAAATATCAATAATAAAATTGGCAATTCTGATTCATTGTATGAACTTCAGTTTAGTCGCTCAGCAGTTGGCGGTTCCAAGATCTTGATGAATTGTCATCCCTACAACGCGGACGATTATGATGGTCTGGAGTTTGAGTCACGATTCGAGTCTGGCAATTTGGCGAAAGCGGTGATGATTACACAAACCTACTATGAGCTGTATTTACGTTCGGATTTGTATACGAGCCGATCGAAACAATGGTTCTACTTTCGGGTGCGGCGAACTAGGAAGAATGTCATCTACAGGTGAGTGAGGGTGCGGTTATGATATGTATATGCAATCCGGTGGTCCAAAACC